TGTGTGTGTGTGTGTGTGTGTGTGTGTGTGTGTGTGTGTGTGTGTGTGTGTGTATTTCTGCATAGATATGAGTATTCCCTGATATGCATCTAACATGAAACTAGTTTATCTAATATGAACTAGCATAAAATTATGTATTCTCGATTCTCTTTGCTCTTCAACAACTCCCACATCACTAGCTCTTGGCATATATTTTTCTTTCTTCTGCCCATAGTAGTTGTTGCTAAAAATAAATATATTATTCTTTCGATAAGCTGAGTATGAGAAATCTATATTTGGTATTCTTTCTCTTAAATCAAAGTAACAGGACACTTCCTTAAAAATAAGGTTTAAAAAACATGAACGTATATGGAATGTTGTTTTCCATTCTAATTCATTCTTTACATGATATTTCTTTAGATTCATAATAGATCATATGAAGGTGATCAAGCACAATTTCCTATACTTTATAAGCAAGTTTGATTAGTTTCTCAAATGAAACAGCCAAGCTTCTATGATCAGATTTAATTCTGTTTTCCAAGCGTACACCTCAGAAATTCTTTGGCTTAATTATACATTATAACCTCAGTCAAAAACAGAATATGCATTGTTATAATCTGGCCATGCTTTAGAGTAAATATTTAGTTGAAGGGCCACCACATTATATGGACAAGATGTTTTTGGACCCACATTGCCTTCCCATGTAGCTTCCTTGACCCAGACAGACACAGTCTCATGCATCCTCCCTGTCTCCTGCTGCCCCCTGCACACCTTCCCTGAACCAGATGGTACCGCTTGCACACTCCCTAAACATTTTCAGGCACTTTTTTCGAATCACCTCACCTCCTTGTGCACCTCTTCCTGACTCTCATGTATATTTTCAACCCCATTGTGCCCCCCCCTCTGCATTATCACCGACCCACATGGCATCTTTTGTTCTTTCCCAAGCAACCCTGGGCACCCTTCACAACCTGTGCCATCCTTCCTGGATGCCCTCCTCAACTTGCATGACACTTCTCACATGACTTCCACGCACCCTTTCAATCTCAAAATGCCCCTTAATTGACCTGCATGGTGTCTCTCGTGCACCTCATGTGTCTTCCCAAAACATACTCCCCAAGCTCATATCTTCCCTAATCTGGATGGTACCTGTTATGCACAAAGACTTTGATGCTCCCTGCCAATTTTCCACAATTTTTCACTGGGAAAGTTGGAAGTCTGTTCTGTCCCCTCCTTCACAGCTCTTAACAAATGCAGGCAGACAAACTTAAAAGGACTTTTCTTTATCAGTTCACAGTTCAAACTGGCTTCGAGCCCCAAAAATAACATAAGTACAAGTCTTTGACCAATTAATGTAATGAAAACAAATCTTTCTTACAGCAACTCAATTTGAAGAAAACGAAAGCAAAACACTTCTTCCCAAAGTCTCTATGAATCAAGGTTACAGACATACAGAGCACTTATCCAAGTGAATCTTACATTAAACAATGCACTTCTCCAGTGTAGCCTTGAATCAGGGTTACAAGAAACAGAAAGCACTTATCCAAGTGTAACAAGCAATGTTGTACGAACCAAGAAACCCATGAAGGAATGTTGACTCCAGCGACTAGGGCGTGGCAGCATCCGTCCTTTTATCTCCAAACTTGCTTCTAACCAGCCCCAGCTGCATAATGAATCTTGTATCCTGAAAAGACTCACAGCAGACATCTGCTGAGTCACAACAAAGTCACTATTGTTCCTACTGCTTTTTTAAATCATTGAATAGTGACTCACGGGGCCCAAGTTGTCTACTACACTCTAAAAACATTTTGAATTAATAAAATTTCCTTTAATAGGAAGATACATTAGATTAAACTTCAGTAGCTACTATACCTCTTTTTTTTCAATTTTATTAATTTATAATATAAAATACAAAAATACAAAAGAAAATAATAGGAAAAATAGGGAAGGGAAAGATGTAGAAAAGAGGGGGGAAAGACAGAAAAGGCCATGACTTCCGATTCCCTTTGATGCAGTAGAATAAGAGAGTAAGTCAAACCTCAACTTTTTATTTTTACATAATAGTATAAACTAGCAGTTTCTTTACTAGCAAACATATCTACGGTAATTGGTAAAGCCCCAAATCAAAGTTTCCTTTTCTTCCACCTCAAGCACAAAGTCCAGAAGTGGTTTTCAAGTAGAAACAAAAGTAATTGCATATTTTCTTCAATCAAAGCAGTTAGTTTAGTCATTTCTGTTAACTCCACCAACTTTTGCAGCCATTTGTCCATTTTGGGAATCAAAGTATCATTTTATTTTTTTGCACACGGTAGTCTTGCTGCCATCAACATACAGTATATAACATCAAAGATCCAATGTTTTTCCAACTCTTTTTCCATTAAACCCAAAAGAAAAGTTTTTGGTTTTATCTTTATATTCACTTTGAGAATCTTCTGTCTTAGGAAGTGAATCCTATTCCATCTTGTCACATGTCCACAAATAATAAAAAGTATCTTTACATTTGCATTTCCAACATTCGCTATACCTTTATATATGCTTGACAGCTTGTCTGGTGTTAATACCAGCAACACATCTTACAGATTTTTTTTAATTATAATTTTGTGTAAATTTTAAACCTTTGTCCACATATTCTCCCATTGTCCAAGCACTACATCATATCCAAAATTCCTTGCCCACTGACTCATACAATGATTTACATACTCATTTTCCAAATTCAAATTCAATAACTATAGACTTTAGCAATAATATGCTCAGCACTACCACACAATAGGCTTTCCAATTCATTTCTGACAAAGTCAAACCCATAACTCTTTTTATCTGATTTAAACCTTTCTTTCAATTATAAGTAAGTAAACCAATGGCAGACATGTCCTTCTGATTCTAATTCTTCCTTAGATGTGAGGATAGGACACCAAAACTTAGTTATTATAAGGCCACCAGTCTGACTTTGCCATCATTTCTTTTCTAAAAAAAATCTTCCCTGGCGGGACAGCCAAAGAAGCAGAGGTGAAATTCAGCAGGTTCTGACAGGTTCTGGAGTCCCAGTAGCGGAAATTTTGAATAGTTCGGAGAACCAGCAAATATCACCACTGGCTGGCCCCAGAGTGGGGAATGAAGATTTTGCAGTATCCTTCAGAGGTGGGTTCCTACCAGTCCGCACCTATTCGGTAGAACTGGTTCGTCAAATCTACTGAACCGGTTAGAAGAGGTTCCACCAGTGGACCCGGAAAGCAGGCCACACCTACAGAAGAGGTTCCAAATTTTTTTGAAACCCACTAGAGTGGGGTAGGAATGGAGATTTTGCCACCCCCACCAAGCCATGCCCAGAGAACATGTAGTAAAAGAAATTGAATTTCACCATTGCAAAGAAGCATTTTCATAGAAAAACTCATAGAATGGCATGCCTAACAAAGTAATTATTAAAATCAACATTTTCTTTAACCTTGTCATACTATAAATAACCATGCCATCAAAACCTTAATCCGTGACCTTCTAATTCAAGTAGCCTCTTATTCTGGAGGTTCACCCAATATTTTAGCCAGACCAAACAACAAACACCGAAATACAATTTCAAATCTGGTAAACCCAAACTCCCTCTTTCCTTAGCATCTTAAAATAGTTTATATCTAATTCTAGGTTTTTTCCTTGCCATATAAACTTAAAAATATCCATCTGCTTTGGTTTAAATGGAGTATCAATTGCAAGTATTGGTAACATCTGAAATAAAAACAGCATCTTTGGTAAAACATTTGTCTTAATTATGGAAATTATATCCAATTAAGATAAATGCAATTTATTCCATCTTAATAAGTCCTTTTTGATATCATTCCAGAGAGGCACATAGTTATTTTGAAACAGTTTTGCATTTGTGTTTGTCAATATAATCTCCAAATATTTCAATTTCTTCTCAACCCTAAAACCAGACATTTTAGTCAATATATCATCACCCATTGTTTTCTGTTTGTTTGTTTACTAAAACTCATTTAATTTCCTTATCAAATATTGTATATTATTTTTGGGACTTGCAAAAATATAACCAAATCATCAGCAAATGCCCTCAATTTATAAATTTTCTTCTTGATATTTATACCTGTCATCTTGCTTAATATATCTATCCAAAATTCAATACCAAAATAAACAAGGAAGTACCCTTTTGAATTTCACGTGAATTGGTTAGATCATCATTAATAATAATTTTTCCCTGCTGTGACATAAACTGCTTTAACTCCTTGAATAAAATTCTCCCAAAAGTCCATATCTTCCAAAACTTAAACATAAAAGCCCAATTTAAATTGTCAAAGACCTTCTCTGCATATAAAAATATTAAAGCTGCCTGTTTCTCATTACGATATTGTAAATATTCAATAATGTTCAGAATAGTCCTTACATTAGCAGAAACCAAATTGATCGTCATGAATATATGTCTGTATGAAGTACTACACTTCAGTTCCAAGTAAAATTCTTTATTTTTCCCTATTCCCTTCCCCCCTTTTTTTCTTCAGGAGCAGAACTCATCCATGATTATCTACACTCCGGAAAAGCTTGTACGTTTTGTGCTTGAAATGTTTTTTGCTGGGACAGTAAGCACAAGCAATGTTTTGGTCTCCAGCCTATTGGTTGTGGCCAAATTGCCACACATTCAAGGTACAGAAATGAATACAAAATTAGAAAGATTTCAAGCCTCCTATTGCATTTATGATCAATCCTCAAAATATTGTTGAGTAAAGTTCCATGTGTTACAGTTGCTTTTATGCAAATAGCTTGAAACCATTATGGAAATGATTTGCCATTGTCTTTTTTCTTAATGTTTTTATTGTTGTTGTTTTAAATTACCCAGTCTAACTAACATGTTTCCCCCTTTCTCTTCTCCTGAATAGAGATACAGCAAAACTGCCAACTGCATTAATTTAATACTAACTTTATGGGATTATACTATCTGTGTTTGTGTGCCTTACTAGCAAGAGCCTAGCTTGTATACCCTAGGAACCAATGAATCCTACACCAAAATCCAGAAAATGAGATTTGGCAACTGCTAATAGATAATTCTAGAGAATTTATAATCTTTGGAGCAAGAGTCACGGTGGCACAATGGTTAGAATAAAGTACTGCAAGCTACTTCTGCTAACCGCTAGCTGCCAAAAGTTTGACAGTTCGAATCACACTGGCTCAATCCTTCCAAGGTTGGTAAAATGAGGACCCAGATTATTGGGGACAATATGCTGACTCTGTAAACTGCTTAGAGAGGACTGTAAAGCACTGTGAAGTGGTATATAAGTCTAAGTGCTATTATTATGAAGAGGGAGAAGAGATTGCATCAGAGGTGGGTTCCTACAGTTCGGCCTGGTTCGACCAAACCAGTAATAATTTGGCCTGGGTCGCTGGAACTGGCGGCAAACCAGGACTGCCATGTCCCCGAATTGGTTCTCCCGGCGGTGGCATAGAACAACTGGTTCTTGTTTTTGCCTTCTGTGCATGCGCAGAGCAATTTTTGTTGCACTGCATTTGCGTGTGCATGTGGCGCATCCCTGAGAAAACTAGCGATAGTGGCAGCCAGAACCCACCCCTGGATTGCATCGTTTAACAACATCCCTCCTCCCCCTCCTCTTAATTAGTTTAAATTAATTTAAATTTATCAGCTGCGTTTATGAAGGTGGAAACTCTAATATTCAGAAAGCCATATGGAATGCTTTATGTTTACTGGTTCTAGCCATATTTGGAAGGCACATAGGCACATATACTATAAATAACATCATTAACATATCTTTTTAAATTAGAAGAATTGAAATGATCTCTTTGGGGGGGGCAAGGTGGAGGAGGAAGAGGAGGAGAAGGCAGGTCATTTTCCTGTTTAGAAGTGTCTTGTCTGTATGTGCTGTGAAAAACATGCTTCTATCCAAGTGGTAACTGACTGCAGGTGCTCAGCATCCAATAGTAAATGGCTGTCAATCTTGTCTCAATATTTTTTTTCTCACAGCTAAAGTGCAACAGGAGATTGCTGAGGTGGTGGGTACAAGTCATATCCCAAGCATGGAAGACCGTTTGAGGATGCCTTTCACAAATGCTGTGATCCATGAGGTTCAACGGTGTTGGATAGACAGCCTTGAGACCTTTCCACGGGCAACAACTTGTGACATAACATTCCATGGTTATAGCATTCCCAAGGTGTGGTGATATAATTATTGGTCAAGATATTCTAAGGAAGACAAAAAAAGATGACTGTTATGTATCCAGAGATCCTTCATATTCAAGGCATTTTGAATATTAAATCAAATGTCTCTCATTTACCTCCATCTTTACAGAAGGCTCTCCACTGACCTTTTTTTTAAGGCAAGTGAGAACTGAAGAGTCTTCTCTGGATAAAATAGTGCCAATTAATGTCATCTGTTTCTTCCTCTTCCTTTAGTACATGGCTGTTGTGGCAGTCCTCCCTTCTGTACATTTTGACCCTCTCCAGTGGGAAACTCCAGAGAAGTTCAATCCAAATCATTTTTTGGACGAAAAGGGCCAGTTCAGGAAAAGAGATGCTTTCATGGCATTCTCAGCAGGTATATGCCTCTGGAGCAGATTGGATATCTTACAAATTCATATGTTTAATTGATCCATGTTATTTTTTTTAACAGACATAATTCCAGCAGGTGTACTTCCTAAATAAGTTTTGTTTTCTTCTTCGATAATGCAGGGAAGAGGTCCTGTCCAGGGGAGGCCCTGGCTCGGATGGAGCTCTTCTTGTTTTTCAGCGTTCTGCTCCAGAAGTTCACCTTCTATCTGGATGTGGATACCAAAGACATGGATGTAATATCTTTGATTATGGACTTTAAAAATAATAAATCCCCCCCTTTACGAGCCATTAAACGTTGAATGCTAATGAAGAGAAGGAAAGAAATTGAGGGTTTTTTTGCGGGGGGGGGGAATCTCAGATGCAATTTTTAAAGAAGAATTTCGGGATATTGAAGGATTTTGAGTGAAACTAAACTAATATACTTTTTCTTTTAAATTTTCTTACTTAGTAGAGGCATATTCACTACTATAGAACATATTATTCTGGCATTCATGAGAATTTATGACAGCATGCTGGATTTAAGAGGAACTTAAGAGGTTTTAAGAAAAGAGATACTCCAGAGGCTTCATTTAGCTCAAGAGAAAAGAATTGTTACAACTAGGAATAAGTTAACATGAAAATGTCATGCCTATGATGTATGATATTGCATACAAATTGACATTACGGCTATGAGATTGAATCCCCAGCAAGAAGCTGCAGGGGACAAAGGACTTTGGGACTAGCATCCCTCTGTAGAACCTTAAAGAAGCTATGACTTTTTTTCTAAAATGAACTGGGCCTTCTATCTATAAATGTGAAAAATAGGAGAACAATTGATGCTTTTAATACATTTTCTATGAAAATATGCACTTCCAAATGAAATAGAGTTTTAACTCTATTTCAGTTTTAAATATGTATTCTGTGTGTTTGTGTATATAACTCAAGGGAATCCAATAGGTCTCTTTGTTTCCACATAATGTATTAGGAGATATTGATGAGTCTCCTTATTGGAGTCCACAGTGACTCAAAGTGAGATTTACTGAATCCCCATGTGTGAAAAAGCTTGTCCTTGTGGCACAGGTGACATGGAGACTATCTTTCCCATGCTTTTATATTTCCTCTACTAGTCAGCAAACTTTTATTCTCCTTCTACTGACTGATTTTAGAAGTACAAATGAACATTTCTTCACCATTTGTAATCCTGTAAATGTTGCCAGTTTTTTTTTTCACTACAGCAATTAAAGCACATAAAGAAATGACAGATAATTACAAGTATGAGGCATAGGCATTCACACTGAAAGTCATTTTGTTTCAATCATTATCATAATTATTGATCAACTGTCTCACTATCTGAGGTCAGGCTTCTCAATTTAGGCTTATAATAATTGGGTTTTTTAAATTAACCAAACAAGTCTTATTGATCCTGTGGCAGTTCAGTTGCCGTTATTAAAATTTGTTGGTAGATTGTTAGTTTATATATTTTTTTCCTTAACATATTAATATTTTATTATATTCATAATTTGATTTGGAATGTTTTAAGTAAATGCAATTTTAACATTGATATCTTATTTTAGTTTACCCTTATTTTAAAATTTTAAGGTTTGCATGGGTATCTTTTATTTTATGTATATATTTAGTCTTTTCCGATTTCTTTATGTTTTATTTTGTATTAAAAATATGTTTTGTTAATTGCTGGTCAATCTCTGTAATAAATTTGACTGATTACATTGGATTTTTGAGCCTTATTTCTGCCTCAGTGAATCAAATTATGCACTCATGAACAGGCCCTATTGCAATTCCTAATTAGGAAAATCAATATTTGTGAAATCCCATCAAGTCTTTGGAATAAGATCAAAATGAATCCAGATTAGGGTGCAGTTCAAGACGCACTCAAATACACTGTATTAATGATAATTTTTTTTATGGCGGGCGAAATCCTTTTGAAATTCTTAGCCAAACTGAAGCTACAGTACATTGAGGATGGTTTCAACCTACCAGATTTTCAACTTTTGTTTGAAAGTAGATTTTTTATGAATACTCCCCACTTTGGATCTGAAATCTGGACACATTTTAGGGTATATTAAACTGGTTTCTTGGTTTTCAGACTTCAAAACTGACAAACACATTTAGGTATTGATACCTAAGAAATTACATTTTGATCCTGAATCACTTAAGAAAATGATGCTGTGCAATAATCCAACCTTCGAATAGCAAACAAGATGTTTTACTGGAATTATTGAGCTAAACAAGAACACTTGGATAAGTTTATTTTTAGGGATTGCTTTAATCCTTCTGCGTTTGCTCCTTATCCAGCATTTAAATTCTAGCCTTGACATTCAAACCAACTTGGTATTGATGGTATTAGAATTCTTGATATTTTCAGCCAAAGCCAAATAGATTTTGGGTTTTTTTTGTCTCCTGAGCAGAAATTGGCCCTTTTTTTAAAAAAAATCAACTTTTCCTTCCCAATAGGCAGTTAGCACTGGGATATAGTGACTTCTATCTACAGTGAAACAAATAATTTTGGTTTACCAGAATTAAGAAAGAGTACTCACTATTTCCATCCTCAACATTAAATATTTTTCTGGGGTTTGTAAAAAATATAATTGCTGTACATAAAATTATACTTCACAAATTCAAATCTATATCATGTTTTTTTCTTAGCCCTCTTTAATGTCCTCCCACCTGCAATTTTTGATGAAAAGTATAACAACATTATTATACTTGTCTGTGATGTGGAGGAGACCTCTCTGGTCCATATATTTCTTAGAGGGGGCTCCTGTAGCACCCTGAATTTTACTAATTAATAGTAGTTCCACTAAAATCTGAGAAGGAGTCGGTTTATTTCTAAGGACTGGCTAATATCTAATATCTCAAGAAGACTCACAAAATTTCTTCAGTTATCATTCCTTAATGTAGAAAACGATTCCTTTAAATACTAGTAATATAAAATACTTGCTTTCTTTTTAAAATAACTTTTATGTTGACCTATATCTTGTACTATTTTAACAAGATGAAAAAGAAAGAAAGAAAACAACAATCAAGTAAGAGGACATTTGCTAAGAAGGTTTGAACTGTATTACGTATATAATCTTTAATAATTCTTGCTGTGACATAAATTTTAGAGTAGTGGATTCTTTGTAATACTCTATCTTAGTGCCAACCAGTTTTAACTCAGCTAAAAATCAATGCCAGGGTTGTTATCAGGTTGTTGACATTCTTTATGGATGCAATAAATCTCATTGCGATTCAATATATAGTAAATACATTTAAAGATCGGAGGAAGAAATATATGCTTGTAGGTAGAGATGAGAGATATGGATTAAATAGAAAGAGGCTGACCCCCAAAATGTGGATTTCATAATCCACCTTTCCTAAAAGTTTTTTTTATTTTTAGCCAACAGCTCCAAGGTCAGCTTTGCATCCATCTGCACACCATTGAATGGCTGAATCCTTCCCTAAAGAATCAGAGGGAAAAAAATTGACCCCAAATACATTATGAATCAGCAGTGAGGTTTGATTCAGCCTGCTAATTAATGAACTGAAATTCCAATTCAGTTGTATTAGTAGAAATGACATAGAAAATGTAACCTTCCATTGCATAAGAGACAGCAAAGCGAGGGCATGTGGTCGCATTTCATAAGTTGAGAACTGCAGAAATGAATAAAACTTGGCATCTAATCATGTTAGACTTGACCCCAGGCCCTATTCTGTGCGGTCTTGTTTCGCAATGCCCATTAGGAAAGACAGGACCTTGTTCCCTAAACAAACAACCCAATACTCATTTACAGACAATGTTAATGTCTGGGGGGGGGGGTTGATACTTTATTGTACAGCATGTTGTATTTTG